TGTATTTTGGATCTGGCTATTGGGAAGACTAATCTGTTGTGTTATGAACAGGTATTTGATACCCTGAGGACAACAATGTTCATACTAGGGATGATGTCTGTGTTCATAGGCATTTCATTTTTGGCACCTGACGACTCTAGAGGTATTTGATAACGAATTACAAAAGGAGCTTTAATGGATTTGCTGCCAAGATCACTGATCATGAGGCAAAAAAGCTGGAACGTAAGTGCGCAAATAGATTTATATTGTTTGTTTGATATTAAATGGTTAGATAATGCTTTCAAATTGTTATGATGTGCAGGAATGAATGGAGTGGCATCTGTTTTTTCGAATACAACTTTCCATCTACAAACAACAAGATCATGGGATTTCTTAAGTTCTAGGGCCCCATCTGGTGAAGCTTCATGGCTTGTAAACGGATTTTGAAGGAACTCAAGGATTTGTAAAAGGTTCTCCTCATTTTATGTTTCTTTTACTTGCATTTTTGTTTATGCTGTCTGCAGTGGGGATGGTTTCTGATGGAATTTTTCGATTGGTGATTTAATTTTTAGTTGATGTTGAGTGTTTGCTTTAAATCTTTTCTTTTGATCTTTCAACTTTCATCACTAAGAAGTTGAGGACATGCCTTTCCAAAAAAAAAAAAGGGGTTTTTTTCTTCCTTCCCTTCCCTTTCAGACTTCAAACTTCTTTTCTCTTCCACCTTCCGTTTGCTTCTGGGTTTAGATGGGTCGGTGATGGTTGCCAGTGCCCGGTGAGACCTCTAGGGTTCCTCTATCCAATATATCTCTCTTCTCAGTGGTCTCTTGAAGTTTTCTATCTCAATTCCTTACGCTTTCTGTTGCTTTTTGATTTAGATGGCAATTGTTGATGCTGGAGAGGGGGAGAGCAAGTGGCGTGAATTAGACATATTGAGGAGGTGGGTTTTGTTTGATCTTGTGATGTGTATTCTATTTGTTCATGTGTATCTGTTTAATTCTTTTAATTTCTTACCACATGATTTTTATATTTCTTTCTTTTCTGTTTTGCAGTTTCCACCTAACTCTTTGGAAGAAGAAACTGAAGGAAGTAAATGGATTTTATCAAAATTGAAAAAGAAACTGAGAAAAAGGGAATTAATGAAGCAAGGGATTTCACAGCTTCAGGTATACATAGAACAGAGCTATCTCAGATCTAGATCAACTATGGTTATTCATTAATTTTGATTTGCCATGAATGATTTACATTGTTGAAACGAGAGCATGATTTTCATTTTTGTTTTTTTAGATCATTGGTAACTGATTGTTCTCCCCATATGATTTTTAACTGATTTGTTTTGAAATTCATATGGTTGTAATTGAGTCTTTTTTGTATTGTTTTTTTATTTTAACTTTGAAAGCTTTCTTTTTTTATAGTTAGATCATATGTTGTAGTATTACGAATTCATTGTCATTTGGTTTGTGACTTTATATGTTGCTTGAACTAATTTTAGGCACCTTGGTGTTGAATCCATACTGATTGGGGTCTAACGTTTACTCATCCATGTGTATTTGTGCTCAATGTTACCCATGACTTAATCTCATTCATGGTTTAGAGTTGAGTTAAGTAACTATTAATTTTATAAGCCCTGGAGTGGTCTGAAAGGCAGAATTGATTGGCTTGATTGCTAACAAGTTTGCCAACTCTTTTTATACATGTTTGCAATTCATCTCAAATTGATTTTGGGTAGTGTTTCTTTATGGAAATTTTTCATGGCTGGTTTTGCCAACTGCATTGAGCTGCAGCCAGAGGTGATTTATACATGCCATTAAGAAATTGCAGAGGCTTATTCTTTCTTTCCACAGTTAGGATAGTTAAAAGCATGTTTGTAAGTTGTAGGGTGTCAACCAGATTCTTTGGATGAATTCAGTTTTGTTTCTTTTCTTGATGTTGCTTAAGTAGTTAAAGTTGCCAAATTGATGGTTGTTTGCGCTTCTTTGTTGTTACTTGGTTTAGTACAAGTTCTAAAGGGAATCAAACTGATGGTGAGAGGCAAAGGGGAGATGGCGATACAGGTGGTGGAAGAGGTATTTTGTTTTTCAATGTCCCCCATTTCTTCCTTATTTTTTTTCCTCTATGTTTTATCTCATTTCATTTTCACTTTTTGGGTTTCTTTGCTTTTGTGAGATTTAAGCACTAGGATAGTTAATAGGAGAAACACAACTCTCTCACAGTTGCTACAATGATCTCATTGTCACACAGTGGGTTTATAAACACCATAATAAACTCTTCTTTCGCTAAATTTTTTATTTATGTTGCCTGCAAATAGCTATGGGAGCTTGAATAGTTATGAATTTGTTGAGCATTTATATTTCTTAACAGATTTGTGAGATTTGTTAGTACATTAGAATTTCTTTAGAGATTTGTGACAGTAGAGTAAGAGATTGAGTAAATTGAGTTTAATTTTAGTCAGATGAAGCTGCTGTGGCTACAGATGCAGATGGTTTTTTTTTTTTCTTTTTTTCCAGGGTCTATACCAACGGATTATCCATTTGTAAAGGTGAAAGTTTATACCGACGGCAAATTTTTTTTAAAATTTCTTAGGGTCTATACCAACGGACAGGTTTTCCGTGAGAATAGTCCCAAGGGTCTATACAAACAGATTAAGTGTTGGAATAGACCCTATACTGACGAGGTTTCTACCGATTGAAAGTTCTTCCGTCGGAATAGTTCCTGGGGATCTATACCAACGGAAAATGGGTCTATACAGACGGAAAACTTCCGTCAGTATAGGTACATCTCCTTGTAGTGTATCATTGGCTAAAATCCAGAAAGTGGCCTGATTTATCTTGGGATGTGTGGTGTTCATCACCTAAGCAAGCCGTATCTGGTTGATTTTTAGTCTGGTGGTCTATGTGCTGTTGGGCGTTTGAGGCTCCTGTCATTGGCTAAAATCCAAGAAAGTGGCCTGATTTATCTTTGGGTGTGTGGGTGTTCGGCCATCGTTAGTGATAACATTGTTTGGATGAAAAAAAAAGTAGTAGAGAAGAGATAATAATATTTTTATTTAATTAAATAATTTAAAAAATAAAATAATATTATATTATTTTTTAATTTTATTACTTAAATAAATAATTAAAATAAAATATTTTTATTTATTTATTTTATAAAAATTATAGAAAAAATAAATGGACGTACCAAATCCATTGCCCAAATTGAAGGAGTAGAAAACAAAGAAGTGGAGCAAGCTCCATCTTCCTCCCCTTCATTAAAAAAATAATTCAAAAAAATAATTCAAATAAGAGAAGTATACATTTTCCCCTTGCCCTCCTCCCCTTCCACCCAAAATCCTCTAATCCAAACACCTTGTAAATGAATTTATACAGCCAAAGTCATATAGTATTATTTAAATTTTCTAAATGAGATAGCAGTTTTGGAATTTATCCAATACAAACACACATTTTCCAATTATTAAGAGGGATGACTGCCCAATGTTAAAGGATTTGCTCTGTATTAATGATTTTTTTTTTTTTTTGGATAACCCGGTATCTGGAAGTCCATTAGGCCACCGATTAATCTAAATTCGAGCCGGGTAAGACCTAACAGGTGGCAAAACTCGCTCTCACGAGTTTTAATGGAACTGCATTTTCAAGATTTGAAACTAAGATCTTTGATTAAGCTGAAAGAGTTTTCTATCAACTCACCCGCCCACTCGTGGATTCCATATCAATGATTATAATTTTAAGATATGAAGTCAACACCAAGCAAACTGCGCATCATTTCTATGTTTTCTAATTTGCTTACATGTAAGGCCAAGCAAATGGAATTACTTACAAGTTGATCCTCTGTCTAAAATCTCAGCAATTTGACCGAACGTGACACAGGGACACCAAAATGTCATGCAACCTGCAAAATAAATTAACAGAAGGAAAATGATCCACTATATATAACTTTTAATTAATGGCTTTAAGGACCAAGAAGCTAATATTTTCAAGTGGAAACCTACAGTTGGCACAGTTGGAGAAGCAGCCACAGAGGTTAGAGGACCAAGGGCCTTCGGTTCCAGGCTGAAGAGGATGCGGAGGCTTAGTTGTTGATTCCTGGCTAAAGGCTGCCGGTGGCAGATTGGGTTCTGAGGAGGACATGGTCTGTGTCTTGGTGATGGATGGATGGAGGAATACTTGAGAAGAAATGGATGTCCTCAAGTGTTTTGTGTTCAAATATATATAATAAAGGGTGATGGATTCAACGACTTAGAATAATATTCGAATAATGATAAATA